TCTGAAATGTTTATATACTTGAAAAGAACACTGTCTCGCTTCTTCGTACGTACTGTACCTCCGTATAATGAGTATACCGTGAAAATAATATCAGCACTCAATTGAATGCCTAGAATCTCAAAGATTTTCGACTCAATATTTAATACGTCTGAAATGTTTATACACTTGAGTGTTGACTGCACTGTCTAGGCGGTCTAGCTCCTTCCTAGCTCTGTATAATGAATATACCGTCTAAATATTATCGACACTTAATTGAACGCCTGTAATGCATAAGATCAATTTATATATTGCGTAGATTTTCAAAAATTTACTCAATATTCACGTCTGAAATGTTTATACATCTGAAAACAACACTGTCACTCCTTCCTAGCATATCGTCACGCCATCGTGATCTACGGCTTGATAGCGCATGCGCATTTGCGCTACTAAAAAAAATCGGGTGTTCCGGGGTAAAGATCCTTTACACAACATGAGAAGCGAATGTTCTAAAATTTACAAAAAAATACAATAACAAAAGCGATTCCTCGAAATTTTTGTGAACTTGGCAAAAGGATAACAGAATATGTAAATAAGTTAACTGAAATTGCTTAAATAACCTTCAAAGTACTGACAAAGCACAATAAATCACTACGAACATAAATCGTATACACCCCCCGGAAAGTTTACTGTATGACTGACTGACTGAATGACTGACTGACTGATAAGTTTGAATTTCCTCCCAGTCATCACAATACTGTGAAGTTTCGAAGAAACTTCACACTAAAAACTACCAATTCCTGGGTTGGGGGAGGTGGTAATTTACATTGACTGGTATTGTACACTAAATAGATATGGGGTGCCATTGATCAGAATCATCAGATGAACAGCTGCCAGTTCTGATGTCTCAGGACTGCTGTGATTCAAACATGTTCTGGAGATTATGAGTACTATTTTAACTTTGCTACACACTCATATTTTGGAACAATTTCCAAGGACAAACTGACTATAAAGATCTGTATAAAATATAAAATATAAATCTTACTTTAAAATTTCCATCATAGAAAATGCAATTCACCTGCCTGCAAAAAGGTTAATCCACTTGGAACGTTTTCCGTGGTTGTGGACATTCATTCCACATCGAATGCATCCGCGATCAACATCAGCGATTGCCCAGTTTGTCAAGCAACAACGTTGGCAAATGTTGAAGCTCTTGGAAGGCCTTGGAAAGACAGCAAATATTAACGCTGTTTGCCTCGGCGACTCGCTTTGGAGAGGACGAAAGCGACGAAGAAAGTGAGGCAGCCGATGACGATGAACCAGAAGACGAACAGAACGAAACCCTCGTGAACAGTTTGTTAGCAAAAATAAGCATTTCGCGAAGGTCTGACAATCGCCATTTTGCCAACCGGATATGTACAGTAATGAGTGTGTATGAGTCATGCGATACTGTCCTGGATCGTTGTGACGCATTTCCGATGCGAGATGAGATGATGTAGGTAATTGCTGCCGAGCGAAGCGAAGGCAGCCACCTATTCTTGACGACGTTTACAGTTTTTACTCGTGCCAGATCCCCGCGCGACCTATGTATTTTATGGCGCCAAAGCAATCTCGATTTGTTTGTCGTTCATTCATTCATTCGGGTCGCATTTTCTGACGTCACGAGAATGGCGTTGTGTACATTTATATACGCAGGAAGTTTACGATGACAATCCGATCACTTCCGAAAGCTGTGTTCGGTGCACCGTAGCTTCATAGGAGCTATGACATTTAATTTTGACATGACCATTTGGGATTCGCATATTTTTCCACTGTGGTACGAATGCACGAGGCTTATTTTACAATATTACTATTTGATTCTGGAGGAAAAGAGTTATATTTTTGAAGGTATGTTGATAAAAATAGTTATTTGAACGTTTGAATACTTATATATGTAAATGAACGTCATAGTCTGTTTTTAATTCATTTATATAAAAATTCGAATTCTATCTCCTCTAGGTGTATATTTTGGTGTGTGTTCGTGGCGATCATTTGGTCAAATCAAATCAAAAGGGGCCGTTCATATTATGTTTTTCAAAAAGTGAATTGTGAACTCGATGTACCTGTACCAAACTTGCCAGGAATGTGTGAACTCGCTATATTTTATACTTTATTCTTTATACAAGCGAAGTGTGATCTCGCTAGCTGGGCAATCGTTGACGTTGGCAATAATAAAGTTGTATACTGAGAATGTCAAAAGATCAAGCCAACAAGGTATTGTATATCAAATTTTACAAATATATAGGTTGTATGGCAATTAGAAAATTGCCAATAAAAATAGTTGTATATTGCACTAAAATGATTATTAATATTGTTATTATGGGAATATGATACATTGCAGTATAAAAGCCCTGCATAAAAGAACCTAATCTTTATATATAATCTTACTTCACACTATACTTTTTATATTCTACACATTAAATAGGGACTGTTGTTGCATAAAACTATTGCTATACACTAATATGGTTCTTGTTGCATATTATTATATCTAAACTGTAAAAAAATTTAAAACTTTGGCTGCTTAATTGCCCAAACTTCAGGCTAGTGGTTCTTTTATGCGGGGGATAGACCTTATGCATAATGACGTCTCAAGGCTTGGTGCCTGCGAGGAATACTGGTCTTAGTAGTCATGACGGTCCAGGAAAATTTCAATAGTGGCCATTTTGAATGGCATGTAGTAAAACACTGACTACCGGAACACCGGAACACCACTGGAACACCACCTAACCCTAACCCCAACCCTAACCCTAACCCCCAACCCAAACAAAATGGTGGTGTTACGGTGGTGTTACGGTGGTGTTCCGGTAGTCAGTGTTTTACTACATGCCCATTTTGAATTGTTTAATTCTCCCGGGCGATGACCAGCATTCCTTGCGGGCATCAAGCCTTATGACATCATTATGCATAAGGTCAAATGAACAGTATGATGTCCGAATTGGAAGACACAATTGCATACGAATGAAAAATTATCTGAGTGACTTGTTTTCGATAATACTCGCTATTTCTTTCTTGTTATATAGTTTTGCAGTTCTGACTACTGAGTGCAATCTTAGTCATTTATACAATGAATTGTGTCATACGAAGCTGACGTCTTAAACAAGAATGTCAACAAAATAGATTTTGTCTCTCCATTGGCTGATTGTTCAGTTGTTCTGCAGTAGGGGTGGCCTTGAAGGTGCCATTAAAATGATAATTGGGACAAAAACTGACTTACTGGTAGTATTTCTATGTATGAAATTGTTATTAAATTCTACATATCCAATGATTCATTCAAGTATTATTATCATTTGTTATCTATGATATTGGACAGTATTCAGTGGCAAGCTAGCCATGACAAATGGTCATGGTATGCTAATAACCTGCATCTATTTGAATAATGCAAATCATTTAAAACTTGCATAACATGACCTGAGTCCTTCATCTTTGTTTACACTGAAGGAATTTTCAAGGAAGTAATTTCTTGAAGAGTAAGGAATTTGTGAAAGTCAATACAATTAGAATATTTAGCTGAGCTTCGATTTTGTGCAAAGTGTTTTCATATTGAAATTGCACTTTTCCTACCTCCTGAACAGATGCCTTATGAGTGCTTTATGTGCTTATGTGAAGGAAGGGATAGTAATTTCTAGTATTTAAAAATATTTCGGCTGTGGTGTGGGGAAAATAAGTTTAAACTGCCAAATCTACCAATTTTTTTATGTGTGTGTTAAGATAGTGCAAGTGAGAGTATACTATGTATTTTACGTGCGTTAAAACACTGTTATTCAAACATAAATATTTCGCAGTCTAGATCGAATTTAAAAAATCCCCCGAGGAAATTAAAGAAGAAAGCATGCTTTATCAGAATTTCTCAGTTTTGGAGTAAAAAGTTTAATATCGAATGTCACGGAGGGCGTAGAACAAGGTGTTATTTTCTCACTCCTTTTGTTTATATGTTTCGAATTTCAGGCATTCTGATTGGTCAAGGACGCAAAATGTAAACAAACGCGCTGATTGGCTAACATTATTTACCCTTGTTAATATGCTTAGCAATAAATTGTATGTGACGCCGAAGAAGAAATTTAATTGTAGGCTTAAACTCGCGATAGGGACGACAACAAACCGGTGACCGATCCCAAGAACAAGCTTGAAGCGATCGCCAGTTGAGGAAGACGATTCGCATCATGCTCGACATGCATGACAAGTTAGTTGGTTAGTGAGCTTCATCTTGCTTCTGTTTAAGCAAACTTCTTTTCGCCAGCATTGTCTTCTGCGAGTCTGGACTCGGCCGCGACATCAGTGACTTGAACAACCAAAACATTTCAGAAACGTTTTCTCTTTTCGGCAGCGAATGCTCAAAAATACCGATTTTGTGCTAGCTTTATACTATCTGTCACTCACGTGGTACATACAGGGTGTATAAAAAAAGTACACCCTTTCAAATTCAAATTAGCATAACCTTTTAAATATTCGTAATTGCTCTACAGTAAGCTGACCCATTTTGTATCTTATACAGACTTGAACAATGCTTAATTTAAACATTTTTCTTTCAGTTGTGTATTTGTTCATACAAATAAAAGTTATCCTAAATTCACATGTGCATAAGACCTCGTGTTTTCACGCATTCATTAATTCGAGAAATTATGCGGCAGTCAAATTACTACTGATAGGTTACGGTTAATTTGAATTTGAAAGGGTGTACATTTTTTTTATACACCCTGTATAAATGACCAATTAATCACCTCATGAAATATTCAGATCATTTGATATATTGTGAAGGAATACTCCAGGAGAGAATATCAACATGCAATAATTTAATATCACAATTTGGTTTACCTTATGCTGTAAAATTAAGTGTAAATCTCGTCTGTCAACTCTGGATAGAGTACTGCAATGGCAACGTTGATTATCAGGCCATTCGAGTTTAACAGCCAACATGTGCTTGCGTTTGATTCTTCAATACTTTCATAAGTTTCACCAAACTTTTTATCTAAATTGAAGCAGTTTAGAAGTGTAACTCGCCGTTAAATAATAGGCCATTCCAAGGTGTTTTCCGTCATCTTGAATATATTATTTTCACAATGTGTTTTCTTGTGTTTGCACCCCTAGCACTATTGTGTTTCATTATGGCAGAAAACACCTTGGGAAAATACCTTGGTAGACGTTTTTAGTCCAGTTAATCAGTGATCTGCTCTACCTCAGTAGCTTAGGAAGCTTAATACAATGGATATTTACATTTGATTTACTTTGGCGAAACATTGGTGCAATTGAAAAGTAAAATAATCTGGTATACGCGGTTAATGTAATGTTCTATATTGTGCTCATATTTTGATAAATTCTGTTAAACAATTGGTTTATTCCTCTGATATGGGTGACTTTGTCTGCCCATGATAATTTTAACTAATAATAATCTATTAATTTTCAAGTTTAATTTAACACCATTAGGTTGAATTTGCGCCCTAGGAACCCTACTTGAACGCCGGACGATTTTACTAGTCAAGAGAGAGCGCTGGCGCTCAATGGATGAACCAGACTGTTCATGTGTCCATTTAACTCATTAAGTTGCGACCAACTTTATTTGTTTTACTCTGTCAAAACAAATTTAAAATCAAGGTTAATATTAAGAATGTTCCATTAATCTACAGTAACAAAGTTCAATGCCTCCGGTTCCAGTAAAACTAACTAAAGAGAGTGGGACACGAAGTGCGCAGGAGCAGCTAGCTGCCAAAAGCGCATCATACATATCCTTTCTACCACATGGTCAACAACGGAACCCAAAGGCAAAAAATTGGTAACATTACTCATAAAATGATGTTTGTGATGTTACTCTGAGTGTATATCCACACCGGGCGAGCTTGAAAAATATGCCCAGCCACGGTGGGAATCGAACCTACGACCTTTGGAATACTAGCCCATCACAAACATCATATTCACCTGAGTACACAACACCAACATAGAAAAAATCATATCATTAGTATTACTCTTAAAAATTGAGATCGATAGGAATTCATGGATAGGAATTCAACCCTTTGACGTTTCGTAGTGACTACTAGGGAGTTAAAGATCTTGCATGACGACAAACTACCAACTACGCTTGAAATAGTTTTTGTTATACAGCTATTTCAATTAAGGTTGTCCCCCGAACAAAGCGGAAAAGTCGAATACGAGCGTGAAAGGCTGCTGGGAAACGCTAATAAATGAATGAATTTATTAGCGATTCCCAGCAGCCTTTCGCGCTCTATTCGACTTTTCCGCTTTGCTCGGGGAACAACCCTAATTGAAATAGCTGTATGTATGCAAATACTAAACGCCTGTCATAACCAATTTATCCCAAATATGTTTTATGTGCATGGGTTTGTGCATAGTTAATAGAATAGATGGTTTGGAAATTCATTAGAATAACAATATAACTCATTATCTATGTTAGTCAACGTTTATTCATAAATCTGGTCCTTCACCGTCACTGACGTGTGTATTGTATATTTGCCAAATCCACCAATAGCAATTTCCAATTTATCCTATTGTTCGAGTCACGGATAGGTAACTTTCCTAAAACATTGCTATTGGTTTGTTGGGCAAAAATACAATACGCACGTGACGGCGAAGGACCAGATTTATGAATAAACGTTGACTAACATAGATAATGAGTTATATTGTTATTCCAATGAGTTTCCAAACCATCTATTCTATTAACTATGGTTTGTGTTAGTTTCATCTTTTAATTTTCATCATTTCTTTATAAAAATACTCTCCAACTTGCAACGCTGCGTAGTCCGTTTCGATGCTATGTTCTTGATTCTGTTTTACAACACAAGAATATGATTTTTACCCTGTAGCATGCAAGGTCGATACGGTGAAAAGTATGCTCTGGGGATATGTAAATTTGATATGTAAATTTTGTCTACCATTTAAGCAATGCGAAAACAAGCTTTCAACCGTACCCATTGTTCGTTGTCGGCATCTTAGGCGCTGGGTACCAGGGACACCGTAGCCCCCGACCCAACTTTACCGTGCGTTTATATGATAAAATTCAGAAAGGCGTAACGCGGGGAATACTCTGTTTTTCGTTCGAAATACTTCGTTTTTTGTTCGTTTAAGCGGTTTTTAAAAAAACGTTAAAAGTTTCTATTGGGCATGCGTATGTCTAAAAGATCGCCCCTGGAGGCCGACGTAATAAATCAACGCAAACTGTTTACATGGACAAAACTTGTCCCTCCTACAAGGGTAACCCTGTTTCGTAAGCAGGGTGTCACGAAACAAGGTGTCCCTACCGCCAGGGTGACTCTATACAGCCGAGACTAGTTGAAAACTTTCCATATAAACACTTGCGTTTAAATGTTATACAATGAATATAATTTTGCCTCTCCCAGGGTAGCTCGGGGGGTAGGGTGTCCCTAGTACCCGAGATCATATAGACAGCACCTTAAACTCCCTACTAATTTCCCGACGCAGGGCCTTCGCTCGAAACGTCGAAGCTTTACTTGTATTTTTCAGGTAGTTGAATCCCTACCCATCTCAATTTTCTGGTGTACTTGTCACTACCTACACGACAGATCGTTCGCGTTTATATAGAGAATAATACATGGGTGCGCGAAAATACCAGATTTATTTCGAGTGTTGAACATGATATATGTTCAACACATATAAACAAAATTCAGTGAAAAACAATAAAACGTCCCTGGCAATGCGTTTTACAACAAATGAATATTTCACACGTAAAAATATCGTATTTTTTACGTGTGTTTAAATACGATTTTTCTCAGTGGCCAAAAACTCTATATAACACTCATGTTTATATAATAAATAACATTATTCCTCGACTCATTTTTTATCTAGACAAGAAAGACGAAATCTGTCATTATAGCTCAAAAGAGCATCCTGGAATTAGTACAATTGCAAAGTTTGGTTACGAAATGTTGTAAAATACGAAAATTATAGCCCTGTGAAATTAAGCGCGGTAAAATGCACCAATTTCGACCCAACGGCAATTCAAATCCAAAACTCATGGAGTCATGCATGGCATCCATCTATAATTTATATTTTCTTGAAATGTTAGGTGATTCATTATTATTGCCGTTGTTGTACCGCCGATTAGACGTGTCGTTCATGTAACATGTTCCCTACAACAGCATGGCTGCAAATTACTGTCCGACATCGGACAATGTCCGACGAAATTTTAGCAAATGCCAGAACGAACCAAATTTTGATCGGACATAATGTCGGAATAAAATCAATTGTCCATTGAGTGATCGAGAAAACATTTTGCTTCATAGACTTTTAAAATGTTACATGGAGAACAATTTTGCTTGTTTACTCAACCACAAAAGATTTTAAATTATTTATTATCATAAAAATGTTTCACGAGACACTCACAAAATCTTTCATGAGATCCGCTTACGATCAA